TGCAAGCATACACTGGATGGCCATCTGCTCTAGCTGCATGTTTCCTGCATGATATTGGACTAGATAGCTCCAAAAGCCCTCTCCAGTTCTATAAGCTAAACCCACATGTTAGTCACAATCAAAAGAGGCCCAGCCAATACTTACTGTATATACATCTCAGGGATGCTGTTGCAATTAACAGCTGGAATTAGCTCTGACACCTCATGCTGCAACCCAAATATCAAACTAGTATAAATATTTTGCAAAACTTGTTGGATGAGTATCTTTTTACTCAATAACGGGTAACCCAGAAATTTGCTCCTTATACTACAGCAGTTTCGATCTTATGTACTTCCTCCTCTTGTTCCTATAACACAAGTTTGACCCAGAAATTTAGCTGATTAAGCTTTTCCTAACATGGAGAAAGTGGCGAGAAATGCTTCATTGATGAAAGATCTAACTGTTCTTCGCTACCCTCACAGAGTTAAGAGCCAGCAAAATTTAAAACATGGGTAAGATTCTTATTTTACAAGCTGGAAGGAAAGTCTTCAAGATTGCAAGAACTGCAAAGCTAGGAAGGGACCCTATGGATCATCGAGTCCAGCCCTTGTCCAAGAGGCATAGTGGGGAATCAAACTCCCAACTTCTGAGTCTGCAGCCAGATGCTTAAACCACTAAGGCAGTGGTATCCAACCTTTTTGACTGGGGGGGAGATGGGGTGTGTGTGCAGGGGGGCGGGCACTACCTGCACTCACGTGCATGCACAAAGGGATGGTGCTTGCTCACACAGACACTCACACACAGCCGCAAAGGGGCCAGGAGTGCTTGCACAGCGCATGCGCAGTCGCACACATGCATGAAGGGGTGGGGGTATATGCTCGCAGGACGTGCGCATATGCAAAGGGACTGTGTGGGGGCCCCTTGGAAGATCTGACTCCATGGCCCAGCCCGGCCCAGGCAATGGACCGGCACCGGGAACAGGACCGGGGGTTGGGGACCCCTGCACCAAGGTATCTTAACAGTTCTTATTTCTCCTTCGATGTTTTCAATTCAGGATCTAGCACCCTGCCCACAAAATGCAGGAGTCATATGTGTTTATGAATTCACAACAGAAGTTCATTTTATTACTCCAAATTGCAAGCTAGTTTCCTTGAATTGGCTTTCCTTTCTTTTAGTTAAATACCAATGTTTGCTATTATGAAGATCTTTTTTGAAAAATATTATTACTGTCCCCTCATAAATAAAATACTAAACTCCATAAGCATTTCTCCCTGTCCACTCCATGATTTGAGGTTTAAAAGAAATGAGGAAATTAATGTCTTACTGGATTATATAATGGATAACAGTTACAGGATAAATGTGCTTTGGCACAGATTTCTCTTGCTGTCAACAGATTTCAAATCCAAGCATATTTACACGTCCCTATGGGCCAGTTAGCCATCACTATAGCCATCCCTCATCTAATTAACATGGAGTATTCTCCCCATCCATGCATCACATACAAATCTCAGAACATTAATGAGATCAGAACTAAGAGGAAATGGGGGTGGGGCAGCAAGGTTGACAAACACACACACCCTACTTCACCATTCACATTTGGTAACATGAGCGTTCATCCACTGTGAGATCAAACGGTGGTGGGTGTTAAAGTTTGTCTTGCTTTGATATAAAGTGTTCTTTACCACCCACACCAGGGCTGCTTGTCAAGATGTGCATTTAATACCCACAGGACATGTGGCTCCTAAACAGGTCATCACCAAATAGGCTGATTTACTAGCTTCCTGGACACCAGGTCCCAAATGAATAGGACTCCTGGCCACTGCTGCTTATAGTTACTCTTTTTTCTGTCCAACAACTCTACAGGCAAAATAGGCTGCTCATTCATTTTCCAGCTGAGCAGAAAGTCCCACCGGTGCAGTAACATAAGTGCATCACTGGTACGAGCATTGCCATTTCCCAAGCAAGATGCGGAGTGTGGTTTAAAAAACAAAAACAAATTGTAGATCAAGGCTTTTGCAATGCAATGCTGGCACAGGCAGTACAATCCTGTGTTACTGCACTGGTGTGTGTGTGGGGGGGTCTGCTTTCTTCAGCCCCCCTGACCATCACTCCAACATCCACAACACAGCATAAAACAGCAGCAAGAGGCCCAACAGAAGCCAATGCTTGAATTTTGTGATATTCTTTCTTTACCCATAATTACAAATGTAATGAAGAATTAGTTATATTGCAAAAGGAGTAAAATCATTCTTCATTATGTTACAATAATAATGAAATTCAGTCATGCCTTGGTTATTGAAAAAAAATTAATAGCAAGTTCCAATCCTAATGTAATGCAGTTACGACTCAGCTATTAAAAAAGGAACTTCATTAAAAGTAACTTGTTATATTTCACTAGTGATGCTCCAGTTCTGATTTGTAATATAATCTTGAACAAGCCCTTTCTGTTATCTTCAAAGCACTAAAAATTTCAGCTGCTCCCACATGGACTCATTCATGTGTTAAAATCATAACTTCACTGCCTCTTCAGGCTTAACTTGAGGGTAAGCTGCTTCTAGGTGTATGAAGGTACTATACAAATAAATATGTTTATAAAAGAAAAATGGCTGTTTTTCCAGCTATGCTGAACAACGGGTTTAAAAATTAAAACATCAAAGAATGACGTTACTGAACTTAGAAAACTGGAGACATGTTACAGAGGTATAGAAAAAGAGACGAAAACAATGAAACGTTTCTTCCCTGAGAATTTTTTAAAATTATTTGTTTATTGTAGAAGAAACACCTGTAGCTGAGATTTGGCTGCAACAAAATGTTGCAGCAAGGAGTATTCCTGTTCACAGTTCTGTTTAGTCTGTGGCCACATATTCCATCCAGCTGTCTCTCCCACAAACTCTTTCTTCCAGCAGTGCCCTTCCATAATTATCCTCAAGGTGCAGACTGAGGAGGAGGTGTTTGAGAGAGTGGCTATTTGTCTAAGGCCAATCAGTAGCTCAAATCCCATTGCACAGCTTGTCATCAGAAATGGGAATGCAACAGAGTCACACCCACCCTGAAGTCACCCAAAGATGCCTTGGATCAGGGGCAGTTCTCAGCTGCTGCTAACCATCCTTTGCACTGTGCACATGGAGTTGTGCAGGGGAGATTTCAGCCAGTCAATTTGTGGAGATCACATCTGGGTCATGAGAGTTACTCTCCATACCTACCACACAACCACAGGTACACACACACACAAAAAAAAAATGACAAGAAAAGTAAGAAAAACCAACCAACAACTGTTCTCTTTTGGACCAACACGTATACAGGCCTAAATGCAAGGAAAAAATGACTAGATGGGCGGGATAGAAATGAAATGAATAAATAAAGTCCTGAAGCATTTTAATGTCTAACAAATTTCATCTGGCATATGTTTCATGGACTACAGCTCACTTTTAAGAAAATAGAAGTCCAATAAAAGCATGCTAGTACTCTAGGTGCCATGACCTTCTTTCTTGTTTTGTGCTGTAATAGACCAACACTGTGACTTTCAGGAATTTATAAATGGAGTCGATTTCTGAATGGGCCAAGTGAAAAATCAAACGTCTCTTTGAAAATATAGGTACATGACCTGGAAGCTCTCTTCCCTCATTTTAGACAAACGGGGGCTCTTTGTTGTGGCTACACAGTGGTACGCATAAGGACCTACCTCAGCATGTGCATACTCTTTTCCACGGTCATTCAAAGACTTAGGCTGGGTACCGAAAATGGAGCCCCAGTGTCAAATCCAGGAGCGCCTGTGTTGCAACAAATCCTGTCTGTGAGAGGATATAGTTTTGGAGACATACACTCCAGTAAACACAACACTACCTTTGTGCTCTCCCCCCTGAATGGGTATTCAGGTTTAAAAATGGGATTTCACACAACTGTTGTAACTGTTTGCATCTAGTTCAGACTTTGGGGTAGAAAGAAAATTCTGCACCTCTCCCTCCCCACATCCTCCCATTCCTTCCACCGTTGTAGAGCAACTCCAGTAAGAGGTGCCTGATTACTGGGGCTCTTTGCCTTAAAAACCAAACTACTGAGAACAGTAACATGAACACACACAGGTACAGAAAGAATTTAAGTGCACGTTTTATCCTGTCTGCCAGAACACATACCCTTCTGGCAAAAAATTGGGATGAGGACGGTTTGGATATAGGTAGTTTCCTACATTTCATGCCAAAATGCTTTCCTTCTCTAGCTCATTTTTTGGCATGTTGTTAAAGTTGGAAGTGAGATAAAGCAACACAATTCTTTTATTTCTTAAAAAAAAAAGAACAGGTTGAGGTAACCCCAATTGAAAATAATTATACATCTAACATTTCTAAATCCCTTAACAGCTTTTTAACTATGCAGTGACAATGCTTTTAACCTCCGTCAAAGTGTCAGAACCATGTCATAATGAGACAAACTTCCCACACAAGACTTAGCGATGCATTGTGGCAAACTTTTAAAAAATTGAAGCATTTCAACGGAAATTTGGAAGAGGTTTGAAATAAACAAACCAAACACTTGCATTTCTCCCTATGTAAATGACTTTGGAAAGGATTAGAGATGCCTAAAGGGAAACGTGTTATAAAAGATAATGAAAATGTCTCTCACACACATAAGGGCTCCACTTTTCTGCTCGACTAAATTAAAGCTCTCCTATGAGAAGGAACAGAAATAGCTCATGTGTAAAATCAATGGAGGGAGAAATCACTAGTTGTGTGTTGTTGTTTTTTTTCCACAGTGCTCCAGTGTGCAGTAATCCCCTGTGAACATATTTCTTTATCCGTTTGGGATCATCCACAGTGCATCACTCAATCTTGCTTTTCCAGTTTAGGATTGGTTAAATTTCTCTAAACACACTTCAATATAAAACATGCCTTTTGAAAGCAGCGGCTACAGGGAAGCGCTCACCATTAACTAGGTCAGGAACAAAAGAACTGTGGGGGGAAAATAACAATTAAAAAAGGAAGGAAAACATCCCGTTCTAAATGGAGCACCGAGCAGAGCTGACTTACCTTTTCTCATATATACATACATATACAGCCAGCAAAAGACTGCCTTCTTCCCAGCACAGCAGCAGCCACATGCAGAGTTCCAACTAGAACACGGTGGAGCCAATCAGAAATAAGCTGTCAGGGAGGAAGGCATGCTGGGAGTCGTAGTCCCAAACTACAAAAATAGACCCTTTGGGAATGCATCATATTTATAGACCCTCCACGAAGAATCTTGCACTGGAAGATCGCGAGTCCCTCAAGGTGGATTGGCCGCTTGGCGCTGCAGTCCTCCGTCCTCCCCACGCACACACACCAAACACATCACCTTTGTGTGTAAACTCCACTGAAAGAGAGAGCAGCAGCTGCCAAAGGGAGGTCTGAAAGATCGGGAGGTTTAAAAGTCAACAAATCCGTCTACCTCTTGCTTAGGCTTCAGCTTCATTTGAAATAATAAAAAAAAAACACGTATAAAACCCCGAATGCTGGGGGCGGGTGTGTGTGAAAGCTGCAGGGTGTGTGGAATAAATGAAAGCAATGTGTGGTTTGGGAAACTTCCAGTGACAAAACTTAAAATGTTTTTTTTTCTTCCTTTTTTTTTCTGGGTCCTACGACCTGGCAGGCTATTTAAAATTAAAAGAATGGCTTAATTCATGCCGAAACTTATATTGCTCATCAACTGCCAGAAAAGGCATCCTAAATACTGTATTCTTAAAGGTGTTTTTTTAATTTTCTGCACGCGTGCGTGTGGTGGGGTGGGATAAGTGCTAACAGTTAGGAATCGGGATGCAGGCCGGTGGGGAGAATACAACGGGGATTTAATGAAGCACTTTTAGAGCAGCGAATTTACGGAATCGTGGCCCTTCTAAAGAGGAAAGCCCACGGCTGGGAACTTTCCTCCTCCCCGCGCAATAGGCGGCAATCGTGACCAACTCAAATGACCTGGCCGTGTTTTTTCTTGTTGTTACTCAGCTGCTTCGGCTGAGGCACGTCCTCCCTGCTTCCACGTCCCACAGCTTATTTTTAGAGGCGGACTTGGGGAGGTAAAAACGACCCTCCTCTCTCTTGAACCAGGTAGGCCGCTATTCCCGCGTCCCCAATTGGGGCTGGTCTGCCTAAAAACTAAAGGAGCCAAAAGAGGTCGTAAGAACCTCCCTGGGAGACTCCGGCTGGTGCAAAAACCGAGGGGCCTTAAGCTGGCGTCCTGTTTCCACCAAGCCTTCAGGTGGAGAGATGCCTGAACTCTGGTGATTCCCCTAAATCTGTTGTTGTGAGGTGTGCAGATCCTACGTCTGAGAGGGTTGCTTTCTAACCTCTGCTTTGAAAGCCATTCAGAGCTGGCTGTTGGTCACTTGTCAGACACATTAAACAAGCCACTCTTGTACGGTTTAACCATCGAATAAGAATTTTTGTAGCTGCCTATTTAAAACAGTCCTTTGACTTTCATGCAATGGTTTCCACACTTCTGTACAAGGTATATAAAAACAACTTAAAACCAAATAAAGGTCCTACAAATAAATATCCTTCACAATGATTACTAACAGGGAACAAGTTTCTGCACAACCTGAAGTCGCGGCACACAGGCTGAAGCTGCAACTACACTGGGAAGCCGAATGGCAGATATTCAGCTTTGCTACAGCTTGATTCACAGCCTATGGAATGCATCTGTTTGAATTAGATGACCACCCGGAGATTGCTAATTATTTCAGTGCCAATGTCCACGCTGACGTGATTTGATTGATGCCACAGCCCCCCCTTCCTTTTATCTCTGTCATCTCTCCTTTTGCAATTCATTGTAAAGCTATAGGGCTGTTTAAAATCTTGCACAAAGTTAGGGAAAAGGGAAGTTTTCTAAAGTTCTCCATGATAAACAAATACATACAACAGAAACATAGTACAGTAGTCTACTGTAGTTTGTCACATTTTTTTGCTGGAGTATATAATGTAGTGATAAGGTGATCTAGTGCTAAACTCAGCAATTTGTTTTTTAAAAAGAAAACAACAGTATGGGAGGACTAGAGAGAAAGATTGCAGGGCTGGGTGTTCCTGCTGTCCAAAATATAACACTCGACTTAGTATGTCACCAGGAAACCACCCACCATCAAATCTCCTACCGAGTCTACTGTAGTTTGTCACAGTTTTTTGCTGGAGTATATAATGTAGTGATAAGGTGATCTAGTGCTAAACTCAGCAATTTGTTTTTTAAAAAGAAAACAACAGTATGGGAGGACTAGAGAGAAAGATTGCAGGGCTGGGTGTTCCTGCTGTCCAAAATATAACACTCGACTTAGTATGTCACCAGGAAACCACCCACCATCAAATCTCCTACCGTCCTTTTGGAGAACAAAGCAATTGTTCACCTAGGGAAAAGTCTGTTTGAATTCTTCTGGCTTGAAAAAAGGAGATGCCCACAGCAGCAGAGGAAAAAACCTCCAGCAAAAAGGATTGGACTGATTTGAATTGGGCTTTGTGTCATGTGATCAGTAAACTAAAAAGTGAATTCAACCATTTTACACTTACAGCAAGTCCTGCAACATTTGACTATGTAGTTGCAGCCTGGGGCATTATTAAATCCTGGGGAAAATAGAAACGTCATCATCCTGCCAAAGGGTTTGTAACATTAGTGCTGGTTCAGTCAATCAATAATTTATTATTGTCCATGTACAGTACCAAATAAGAATATGATAAAAGCATGCAGAATTGAAAATACATTAAAATGTACTGATACATAAATGTATTATGACAGAACAGTATCAGTATATGACATGGAATTCCTTTAACTCATTTAACTCATTATACACTGTTCCCCCCCTGATAGATATTGTGGGGGCCACTCAGAGTCCCATGAGTTCAGTGCCAAAGGCATTAAAGTGGTCTAGGTAAAGGTAAAGATAAAGGTTCCCCACACACACCATTAAAGTGGTCTAGGTAAAGATAAAGGTAAAGATTCCCCTTGACATTTAGTTCAGTCGTGTCCAACTCCAGGGAGCGGTGCTCATCCCCGTTTCCAAGCCATAAAGCCAGCATTTGTCCGAAGACAAAGTGGTCTACCTGCCTCCAAATACAACGTCTCTATTTCAGCCTCTAGATCAGGAGGTCATAAGGACCTTTAAGGCTCATTATACACAATACTGTGTGGGAAGGATTGTCAGTGCTGCAGAAGAGAACCCTGATAGAGAGAATATTGTAAAAGCTTGGAAAGAGCATGCCATTAAAGATGCTATCATTGTTACAGAAAAAGCCGAGAAAGACATCCAGCCTGAAACAATAAATTCCTGCTGGAGAAAACTGTGTCCAGATTTTGTGCATGACCTGTTAGGACATATGGCAGAGCCAATCAAGAAAACCATGGAAGAGATTGTGAGTATGCCAAAAAAGGTGGAGGTTAAGTATTTCAAGTTATGGGTAGTGGAGAAATTCAAGAGCTAATAGACACCACACTAGAGGAGTTACAGAAAACAGCTTGATCGAAATGAGCACTTCTGAACCAGTGGCAAGCAATGAGGAAGAGAACGTAGAAGCAGCAGTGCCAGAAAACAAATTGATGTTAGACAATATTGCAGAATGGTTCCAATTATTCAAGGCTGCTTTTTCTGACCTTTTACAACATGGATTCTTCTATAATATGGGCACTGAAACTAAAACAGTGGAAAAAGGAATAGAAATATTTTTAGAGAAATTAAAAAGCAAAAATGTCAGACTGAAATTGTGATGTATTTCTGTAATGATACACTTTATCCCCTCCTACTTAACGTGATGACAGGGATGAACACCTTCGTAAATATGAATTGTAGAGTTTTGTAATCATCATCCGGTATGTAGAGCTAATACAGTAAATTAATTTCTTTGTGTGAATCAACTGTTTATGCTTTGTCTTTATGTTTTTGTGGATATTAAAGTTATACACGGATTTTGAAATACACAGGTCTGATACCCCTAACCCCAGAATTGTTGAAGGGAGAAGTGTATTGCTTATATACCGTAACATTTCCTTTCCTTATCAGTAAAAGCAAAAGTAAAAGTAAAAGTAAAAAAAGACAAAAACATGGTGGCACCTTAAAGACTAGTTTATATATATATATTTTTGTGGGAGCTTTTGTGGACAAGTCCACTTCCAAATGAAAGTTAATCTTTAAGGTGGCACTAAGTTTTTTACCTACAGTATAAGAGATTTTAAATACTTCGTTGTATTTTCATTGGCCAGGAAAAGAACCAGTTTTTAAGGGAATTGGACAAGGTGGCCAAAATGTTCCTAAAATACAAGTGTACATTTCTGGGGAGAATGTTCTGCAGTTGGAGTGCCACAACAGAAAAAGTCCACTAGACATAATACACCTCTGGCAAAGAAAGCAATCAGCAAATGAAGGTAATTAAAGATCTTAAAACGTCAGGAAACTCATAACAGAGGAGCTATAAAGGCAAATCTCAGCACATTGAACCATCACAGGTTCATGGCATTCTACGTGTTGGCAAAAGAAAGGGATCACCTCAGACAGAGGAAGTGAACTTTGACCCATTAAAGCTCACACTAAAATAAAAGGTTTAGTCTTTAAAGTGCTATTGCTTTGGCTTTCTTTTCTTTTTTCTTTTTGCTAATGCGCCTGAGACAGACTTATATGGCTACTTCTTTAAAAATAAGCCCTATATGCGGTAATTGTTTATTTGACCTGAGTCTACTGCCAATCAATTTTGTTGGGTGATTCTGAGTTTTCTTGTTATTAGAGAGGGGGGAAATATTTTGCTATCTATTCAACAAATACCATTGATTATTTTAACAAATTAATAATTTGAATGTTATTAATCTTTAATCATTTTGAAAATTCCTAGCTTCTTATATGCCATCAAGTTGGAACTGAGTCACAGTGATCCTAATAGCGCTTTCAAGGCATTGTGAAAACTCAGCTGTTTTTAAGCAGTCTTCTTTCCTATTTCCCCTGCCCATAACATAACTTATTGTCTTATCTCATGACTGCTGTGTTTTGTGAGATTTTGTTGTAAGAAGTGCATCAAGAAGTGTATTTTTTCCTCTTCAAACCTGCAAATACAATTTTTTTGGGGGAAAAAATCTCTATATGGTAGTTAAGAATTCTGAAAAATTGTAAAGGCTTGTCTTTGCAGA